CCTGGAGCCCCTTTAACCCAACCAGAGCTCCTTCCTCACCTGCAGGGAGAATACCCGAGCACGTTACCTGATCCTGTGACACTGCTCGGGTCTTACAGCCAATCACTAGGCCGGGGCACTGTCACATGACCAAGGTAGGGCAGCATGGAGTCATACAATGTCACGTGTGAAGCAGCTTTGTATCGCTGTGACATGAACGGACCTTATTGAAGAGCTTCATGGGGTTGTAGCTGATTTCTCGGGCCCACACCTTGGTGGACACCCTCTTGATGTCTCCGTCTTCATTCGATGCTTTAGCGCGCTCTGCTGCCTCCGTGGGATCCCCTGTAAGGAAGGAGGGGGTGATCGGTGACACCGGAGGTCTAGGGGTGGAAGGGGGTGATCGGTGACACCGGAGGTCTAGAGGTGGAGGGGGTGATCGGTGACACCAGAGGTCTAGGGGTGGAAGGGGGTGATCGGTGACACCAGAGGTCTAGGGGTGGAAGGAGGGGGTGATCGGTGACACCGGAGGTCTAGGGGTGGAAGGGGGTGATCGGTGACACCGGACTGATACCCAATACAGGGAGATAAACGCGTCTAATACTCACAGGAGGCCTCGGGGTCGGCGGTGTCCGGTGACACTTCCTGGTCGGCGTCCTCCTCCCCGAACAGCTGGCTGCGGACACAAAGTGACACAATCAGGTGCACAGGAAGTGGCCGGCGAGGACATCCTGCCAGGCAGAGGGGTCGGGACTTACTTGAAGAGGTATTTGGCCCAGACGATGCAGTGGATGGGCTCGGAGGGAGTGTTGCGGATGGTGCACCCGTGTTACCATCAGCCTGGAACTTGGAGCTGCTCCACCAATGCCACCATCTCAGCTAACTTGTCTCTCTGCTCTCTCCTCCTATCAGCATTTGACCTTTTGCTGCTTCTCCCTCCCCCCCCAGTCTGAGCTCTGCTGTACGGGGGGCTGATACCAGGACACACTCCGGTACTGACACGGCTCGCATTTTAAATATTCAATAAACAAAATGATTATTTGCGTCTTTTATCTGCCCGGAGTTCCTCTTTATCTGTTCCCCAAACTTTCCATCATGACTCCGCCTGAGCGGCCGACATGCTTCTTCTGGAAGAGGAATTGTCTGTTCAGGTTGCTGACGTCGATGGTGTCCAGATCGATCTGCGGAGAACCACAACAGCGTTACAGGGAGGGAACATCTATACATGGGGGAGGGGCTCTGCAGAGTGGGTGGAGTTAGAAACAGGAGGCGTGGCATACACGAGGGTATGAATAACAGTGGGGTCCCCCTTCCTGTAATTGGATCAGCCCACCCACTGCAACAATAATATGAGGGGTGGAATGTTCCATAGTGATTGGAGGAGGGCGAGGATATTGGGGTCCCCCCCACACAAGTCATCAGTCGGCCCCCCCGCAGCGATATATGGGGGATGGGCTGTTTCATAGTGATTGAAGGCGAGTGATGATTATATTGGGGGTCCCCCCTACACTTGGGTCAGTCCGCCCCTGCAGTGATATGTGGGTGGGATGTTCCATACAGATATGGGGGAGCATGATAATTGGGGTCCCCCCTGCTCACCACATGCAGTTGGGTGAATCCGGTCAGCACGAGGTTCTTTAGCAGCTCGCAGCCGATTCCTCCCGCCCCGACCACCAACACCCGACTCCCCTCCACCGACCGAGCCAAATCCGCCCGCAAAGCACCCGACACCGCCATCTCCATCCGCCGCCTCACACCGCGCGGGAGACACCACAGAGACACCGGGCAGAGCGAGCGCCGACAGCGGGACACAGCGACACCTACCGGCTTGGAGATAAAGTACAGCTGTTGTATACTTTGCACAGCGACATCTACCGGCCGAGTGAGTAAACTATACAGCTTAAGGTTTACTGTGCACAGCGACACCTACCGGCTGAGGGAGGGAACTGCAGCTAATGCATACTGTGCACAGAGACACCTACCGGCAGAGGAAGGGAAATGCAGCTAATGTACACTGCACAGAGACATCTACCGGCCGAGGGAGGGAACTACAGCTAGTGTATAATATGCACAGCGACACCTACTGGCCAGAGATGACATTACAGCTATTACCTTGTCTACAGATGAGTGCTGGGCAATATCTCATATTATTTGTACAAATTGTTTATTTTTCTGGACCAGCGTTGGAGAGTTCTACTTCCTTTTCTGGATAAAAGCAGCACTAGGACTACATCTAAATATATCAAAACAATGCAAAAGAAGTATAGGGGGTGAGGGGGTCACTGTAATTGTAGGATTTACTATTCAGAGAGCATTGGGAGCTGCTGTGCTATAGCCAGGGAGACTGGGCTCTGACCTCTAGAGGACCCCAGTATCTGGGGGACTCCCACTTCTGCAGAACCCCAAAATCTGGAGGACACCCACCTCTCGAGGACCTGATCATTATAGGATCCTGTCTTTGGAGAACCCCCAACCTCTGAAGGACCCTACCTCTTGGGTATCCAGTCTCTGCAGAACCCCCACCTCTGAAGGATCTTATCTCTGTAGATCTCCCAAACTCTGGGGGACCCTATCTGTTCAAAGACCCCTACCTCTGAAGGTGCCCCCACCTCTGGAAGAACCCCAACCTCTCAGGGACTCCCATCTCTGGAGAACTCCCAAACTCTGGGGGACCCTATCTGTTCAAAGACCCCCACCTCTGAAGGTGCCCCCACCTCTGGAAGAACCCCCACCTCTGAGGGACTCCCATCTCTGGAGAACTCCCAAACTCTAGAGGACCCCATCTGTTCAAAGACCCCTACCTCTGAAGGTGCCCCCACCTCTGGAAGAACCCCCACCTCTGAGGGACTCCCATCTCTGGAGAACACCCGCCTCTGGAGGATCCTGTCTTAGCAGAACCGTCTACCTCTGGAAGACCCGATTTCTGGAGAAGCTTCAACTCTGAAGAACCCCAAACTCTGGAGGACACTTCGCAGATCTCCCCACCTTTGGTGGACCCCATCTCTGGAGGATACCGTCTCTGGAGGATCTTGTCTTAGCAGAACCGTCCACCTCTGGAAGACCCGATTTCTGGAGAAGCTTCAACTCTGAAGAACTCCAAACTCTGGAGGACACTGCGCAGATCTCACCACCTTTGGAGGACCTCATCTCTGGAGGACCCTCTACGTCTACGTCTGGAGAACCCCTCACCTGTGGAGGGACCAACTTTGTCAATAGAAATATGATCATGGTTTGTTCTCCAGCTAGAAGAGGCCGCGATCTTCTCATATTGGGCCGACATGTGAAAGTTGTTTTTATCGATTTATAAGGAGGAACCATTTCCATCAGCACGGCATTAACATGTGAATGTAAAGCCCAAATATTTTTGGGGGGATGAATTAGGGAAGAGTGAAATCCTGTCCCATTGGAGAGATTTCCCTTCATTTCCTGTCCTGAGATGCAACAGGAAGTGAAGGAAATCCCCTCTCAGACATCTGTCCTCAGAACAGATGCCCCCGTTGGAATATTTCCCATCACTTCCTGTTCTGGTGACAACTGTAACATTTTGCATTTCCTCTCACTTTCTGTCTCTGTGGCACCGGGACATATAGGGAGGGTGAATCTCCCCAGCGGGGGCACAGACAGGAGTAAAAGGCTGGCAGGGGATCAAACCCTTCCCGGCTGCTGAGCTCCAGATACAATGTATCCAGCGGAGCTCCAGGCAGATTACAATCGGGATGTGTGGCCCCCGGGACTTCTGTTTGCATATTGAATTCCCTTCCCAGAAATATGAGATAATACAAACTTAATATGTGACTGAAAGGGGATCGGTGTGCATGCCGGACATTTCTAGGGGCAGACTGTTTTTATTGGCCCTGATTGGGCGAAGTCTGGCATTGCTCAGTGCAATTGTGGGAGTTCCCCCTTCTCCCCCCCCTCCCCCAATGGGTACAAAGTGCCATCTCTGCCCTATAACCCCGTCCAATGCAATCTCTGCTGGATCAAAGCACTCTTCTTCACTGCAGCACCGAGGCTCATGGGCTCACTCATCTGGATTGTCCTTCTGGGGCCCCTTGTCCTGGGGCCCCTGGTGGCAGGTAGAGAACACCCTCATAATAGACACCTGAGAGTAGCAGCCAACTGTCCAGAAATGGGGGCTGTGAGAGAAGTGGGGTCACCGGGTGGCAGCTGAGGTTCTGAAATGTGATTGCTGACTGTCCCTTGTTGGGGGAGGAGCTTATTCCCTCCGTAGCGCTGCCATGGCAGAGGCGGAGTTCAGAAATGCTCCTTCTTTTCATGCCTTTGCCTGAGTATTCCCATGGTCCCTGGGTACTCGGGGGCCGGGGACTACAACTCCCAGCAGTGTGTCACATCTATTGCAACATGATCCCATGTTGGGTCTGGTAGTATGGGCATGTCTGGCATGAGTCCATGTTGGGTTTGGTGGTATGGGGATGGGTGGATTGAGTCCATGTTGGGTCTGGTGGTATGGGGATGGCTGGAATGGTTCCATGTTGGGTTTGGTGGTATGGGCATGTCTGGCATGAGTCCATGTTGGGTCTGGTGGTATGGGGATGGGTGGATTGAGTCCATGTTGGGTCTGGTGGTATGGGGATGGCTGGAATGGTTCCATGTTGGGTCTGGTGGTATAGGGATGGGTGGATTGAGTCCATGTTGGGTCTGGTGGTATGGGGATGGGTGGAATGATACGACGTTGGGTCTGGTGGTATGGGGATGGGTGGAATGGTTCCATGTTGGGTCTGGTGGTATGGGGATGGGTGGAATGATACGACGTTGGGTCTGGTGGTATGGGGATGGCTGGAATGATCCCATGTTGGGTCTGGTGGTATGGGGATGGTTGGAATGGTTCCATGTTGGGTCTGGTGGTATGGGGATGACTGGTATGGTTCCACGTTGGGTCTGGTGGTATGGGGATGGGTGGAATGGTTCCACGTTGGGTCTGGTGGTATGGGGATGGCTTGAATGATCCCATGTTGGGTCTGGTGGTATGGGGATGGGTGGAATGGTTCCACGTTGGGTCTGGTGGTATGGGGATGGCTTGAATGATCCCATGTTGGGTCTGGTGGTATGGGGATGGGTGGAATGATCCCATGTTGGGTCTGGTGGTATGGGGATGGGTGGAATGATCCCATGTTGGGTCTGGTGGTATGGGGATGGGTGGAATGATCCCATGTTGGGTCTGGTGGTATGGGGATGGCTGGAATGGTTCCATGTTGGGTCTGGTGGTATGGGGATGGCTGGAATGATTCCATGTTGGGTCTGGTGGTATGGGGATGGGTGGAATGATCCCATGTTGGGTCTGGTGGTATGGGGATGGTTGGAATGATTCCATGTTGGGTCTGGTGGTATGGGGATGGCTGGAATGATCCCATGTTGGGTCTGGTGGTATGGGGATGGGTGGAATGGTTCCATGTTGGGTCTGGTGGTATGGGGATGGGTGGAATGATCCCATGTTGGGTCTGGTGGTATGGGGATGGCTGGAATGATCCCATGTTGGGTCTGGTGGTATGGGGATGGCTGGAATGATCCCATGTTGGGTCTGGTGGTATGGGGATGGCTGGAATGATCCCATGTTGGGTCTGGTGGTATGGGGATGGCTGGAATGGTTCCATGTTGGGTCTGGTGGTATGGGGATGGGTGGAATGATCCCATGTTGGGTCTGGTGGTATGGGGATGGCTTGAATGATCCCATGTTGGGTCTGGTGGTATGGGGATGGGTGGAATGATCCCATGTTGGGTCTGGTGGTATGGGGATGGGTGGAATGATCCCACGTTGGGTTTGGTGGTATGGGGATGGCTGGAATGATCCCACGTTGGGTCTGGTGGTATGGGGATGGCTGGAATGAGCCCATGTGGGGTCTGGTGGTATGGGGATGGCTTGAATGATCCCATGTTGTGTCTGGTGGTATGGGGATGGGTGGAAGGATCCCACGTTGGGTTTGGTGGTATGGGGATGGGTGGATTGAGTCCATGTTGGGTCTGGTGGTATGGGGATGGCTGGAATGGTTCCATGTTGGGTCTGGTGGTATGGGGATGTCTGGCATGAGTCCATGTTGGGTCTGGTGGTATGGAGATGGCTGGAATGGTTCCATGTTGGGTCTGGTGGTATGGGGATGGGTGGAAGGATCCCACGTTGGGTCTGGTGGTATGGGGATGTCTGGCATGAGTCCACGTTGGGTCTGGTGGTATGGGGATGGGTGGAATGATCCCACGTTGGGTTTGGTGGTATGGGGATGGCTGGAATGATCCCACGTTGGGTCTGGTGGTATGGGGATGGCTGGAATGAGCCCATGTGGGGTCTGGTGGTATGGGGATGGCTTGAATGATCCCATGTTGTGTCTGGTGGTATGGGGATGGGTGGAAGGATCCCACATTGGGTTTGGTGGTAAGGGGATGGGTGGATTGAGTCCATGTTGGGTCTGGTGGTATGGGGATGGCTGGAATGGTTCCATGTTGGGTCTGGTGGTATGGGGATGTCTGGCATGAGTCCATGTTGGGTCTGGTGGTATGGAGATGGCTGGAATGGTTCCATGTTGGGTCTGGTGGTATGGGGATGGGTGGAAGGATCCCACGTTGGGTCTGGTGGTATGGGGATGTCTGGCATGAGTCCACGTTGGGTCTGGTGGTATGGGGATGGTTGGAATGATCCCACGTTGGGTTTGGTGGTATGGGGATAGGTGGAATGATCCCACGTTGGGTCTGGTGGTATGGGGATGGGTGGAATAGTTCCATGTTGGGTCTGGTGGTATGGGGATGGTTGGAATGATCCCACGTTGGGTTTGGTGGTATGGGGATGGTTGGAATGATCCCACGTTGGGTTTGGTGGTATGGGGACGGCTGGAGTAATCTTTGCCTCTGCTGGTTTCAGGAGAGGATGCCGGGACTCTCTTGGTGAACACGCGGTATGGGAAGTTGCGTGGAATTGCCGTCACGGTGAAAGAGACGGACAGGGCCGTGCACGCATTCTATGGCATCCCTTTCGCCAAACCACCAGTTGGGCCTCTGCGATACGCGGCTCCGGAACCTCCTGAACCCTGGACAGCCGTCAGAGAGGCCGCCGAATACCCCCCAGTGTGAGTGTCCATGTGATGGGTCCATATGGACTGGCGAGCTCTTTAACCCTTTCATGTCCTGAGCCGACAGCACAGGGAAGGGCAGTCACTGCCGCTGTGTGATCCCTTCTTCTTCCTTCCAGGTGTATCCAGAGTCCGGACAGACTCCTCTACATGCTGAAGTCCTTCAAATACACTTTCCCAACACCGCCCTTGTCCGAGGACTGCCTCTACCTGAACGTCTTCACCCCGGCCAGCAGGGGGAAGAATTATCAACTACCGGTGAGGAGATCATAGATTCATGATTAGGAAACATGCCGAGTGCAATGTAGAGGGGGTGCAGGTCCCTACCCAGCCTGTAGGGGTCACTGAGTGCAATAAAGAGGGGCTGCAGGTTCATACCCAGCCTGTAGGGGTCACTGAGTGCAATGTAGAGGGGGTGCAGGTCCCTACCCAGCCTGTAGGGGTCACTGAGTGCAATGTAGAGGGGGTGCAGGTCCCTACCCAGCCTGTAGGGGTCACTGAGTGCA